TTTGGTCATGGTACAACAATGATTTTTGGGGCATGTATCACGGTACAATTATAGTTTCTGCACACGTACCATGGAAGTACCATGGTATTCTTTGAAGTAGCTTGGAGTATCATGTAAATACCATCTGATAAAATGATTGAGTGGGTTGTGTCATCACTAAATGGAGAAGGCTGAGCTCATGAATATTAATATCATTCTGATTTGGCATCAAGATGTTTATACATTACTTTTTATTAATCAATAATACATCCAGAGATTGTGTATGTGTTAGAACTCTCAGATGTCAAAACAAAAATATAAATTATTTATCAAGATACTAGTGGCATAAATGTAAGTTCCCTTGCTTACACGTAATCTTTGCACTACCTAGAATATGCAAAATGTATGTTAGACACTTCTTGACAACACTGTTGCTTTTGAAAGGTTTTAAACACCCTTTACCTGTAGTAAAATCATCAAACTAATTTACATCTTTATGACAAACATTATGCAAACTCCATAAAAAATTTAATCAAGTCTAGCGTTACTTTTGAGTCTAGTTAGTTCACAGCAAGTGAATAGTCACAAATGTAATGCATGAGGGGCAAAAGGTGCATAAAACTTGAAAAATGATGGAGAAAAAGTCTAATAATCAAGTCTGGAGAGTGTATTTCTAGGGTGTTATTACTTTCTTCATTCACTCCCCTCCCTTCTAATTCCAGACTAGAAGGGACCTTTGCAACAAAAGAAAAAAGTGTTACCTGGCTGCTAAGGTATGTTGGTAATTACTGTGGCATTAGACCCCGCACAATATCCCTGCAAAGTCTAGTATTGTAATTTCTTTCTTTCAGGGTTCCCTTTATCACGTCTCTTAGCTCTGATACAGCTCACCCTACTGCTGACCCCTGTAGCCGTGATTAAGAACATTTGCTTTAATACTCGTGCTTATATAGAGCAGCAAATCCTTTTATAATGCCATCTTGCACATAGTCAGAAAAAGAACGTTATGTTTTATAATAATGCTTCACATAATGCTTCACATAACATTAATCTGGGTCAGTCATTTATCATTCAGCACAGAGTCCTGGTCAGTTCTGGGTCACTCAAACACAGACAAAATTTCCTGTAGGTGGCTTTATTATGAAAGCAGTTCTTTGCCTTTACACCAGTGGCACTGATTGAAGACACTTTCACTGTGTATGATGAGCTTTGGAAACTTTGACACAGAGCTCTTACACACAGGGTTCAAAACTAACTGAATAAACTGAAAAAAACATTTTAGTGTCACATGACAATATAACTAAAATATTGATATGTAGTATTATAATATAGCATAATTGAAATAGGAAAAACGAATCTCAATAGACCTTGCTTGAGATTAAAATCCTACAGTTTTAACTTTTTCCTAAAGATGTAATATTTTAATCCAAATTATGAGAATAAAGAATATGGTACTATAATACTATGAAAACAAGGTCCTGTGGAAAGTGACAAAGTGAAATGGTGGGTATATATATATATATATATATATATATATATATACATATACATATATACACATTCAATCTGAATGATTTCAATTGCTCATGATGCTGCTTACAATAACGAGGCAGTTCCTAATAAAGTTTACAGCCAACTGGCGAGAAACTGTTTTATTTACTCGCCAAAGACAATTCTGACTGGAATTCGGCGCTTCATGAGTGTTAATTTTGGACCCTGCCTGCACACGTTCAACAGGCAGGTTTGCAGTAATGAGGGCTTGAGTCTGGTCAGCGAGCCATCCTGTAAACAGTCTGAGAGCAGCGTTAATTAATTCTCACCGACACAGGAGAGGAGAATAAGGCAGAGATGGAGAGCCAGACCTCTGACCTCTGCAGGTCTAACCAGGCCTCGTTGGACAGCCTCAATCTGAGCAATTAGTACACCGGGTCCCCCAATCTACATAATTGCCCAAGCAGGGGGTAAAACAGACGGGCATGTGAGTGGAGACCATTGAACACACACAAACAAAGTCATGATTCAAATAAAAATACACACACACTAATAACACTTACTAAGCTATGAAAAAGTCACATCACGCATGGATTCGTGATAACTGCATGGATTCTGAGGAAACCCTGCTGAGACTGAGCGCTGCCTATTAGTAAGCCTGAATGTCGTGCTTTTAATGGGGATACGTTCCTCCACCCCATCATGTGACCCCTCTAAAGAATGTTTTAACTCAGGACGCAGGATAAAGACCCTGACTAGACTGGCTAATAATATACCCACTGAGGTTTGTATTTTGTGGTAGTATTTTGTGGGGAAAAAAATTTAAATATACCCCATGTTTTGTTTGTTTAGTATTGTTGAACGCTATTAAAAATACAGTACAAGACGTGATGTATCGGTCAAAGATGTACTGTATGACTGCAGTGATGGTGCTTTAAAGAGCATAAATTTAAAGATACAACTTTTATGAGAGTGTTAACTAGCTGACCTCACTAATCAACCAGTTGATTGTTTGATGACTAGTAAACCATTGGAATCCAACCTTGCAAAAGAGTTGGAGTTAAGCGGCAAAGGTTTGGCTGGATAGTACAGGCCGCTTTCAAACATTAAACTTGGAAAATTATTATTTTATAATTATATATTTATTTTTCCAGTAAATATAACGCATATGCAGTTCATACAAGTAACAGTATTCTTATTTTATTGTTACATTCACTTATCAGCACCAAAATACCAGTAAACGGTAAAGGAGAAGCACTTTATTTTCACTATCTGTGCAATTTGACAACATTTTTTGACTTCTTTGACTTATTTGGTGATGCAGGGGCAAAATGCACAGCCGAAGCAATGACCAATGATGCCTAGCCATCTATAACATTTTCTAATGCTTTCAAAAAACAATTAAAAAGCACCAGAGTTCACTGTAAAATCACAAACTTAATCACTGTTCCAAAGCAGATTTCTTACATGCTTATACTGGTAATCTCATGCTTTGTTCACACATGATCTCTAAATAGCAATTTAGAAGTAATTTTCTGGAAAAGACTGTGTGAAAGCACCTATTGTCTCGTTAGCACGTGCTGGTAGATGTTGTAACTGCATTATCTGGCTGCAAAGAGCTCTTCTAAAATGACTACGCATGCAACAACTACATTTTCTCTTTAGATTTTAAACCAACTCTGACCCAAACACATGACAGTGGAAGAGCTGATGTTTGAATTCAAACCAGTGGTCAACAAGCCTCTCTAAAGCTCTTCATGTCCACCCAGCATGTTCAGATAAGACCTTTTGTGTCCCTCTTGATTCCTGCTGGAAACAACAGCACTTAAACCCACATCACCGCCAACCCTTCCAACCCTGACAAGTTGGATCACCGTAATCCATACATTTGGATAGCTAATCCACATTCAGTGCCTCAGAGGACATATAGACCTTTTGGCTTGTCAAATCCTGAGACGAGGACTTTAAAATGGGTATGTAAGGTGGGTAATACATGGGGCACCCCCTTTGCAGACAATGAGCCTGCCCAGCTGAGCTGACAAGGACATAGGGGGAGATGTTTGGGCTTACCAGTGCGTAAGATCCATTAAGGGTGGTTGAGAGGAAGGTCTGAAAAGAGAAGCGATGACCCTGCCGTAGAAGAGAGCCATGCTGCCCCTTTTCGCTAATCCAGTAAAAGAGACAAATATTCCAAGGCATATCAGTCCACAAGCCACTGGAAATCAGTACAGGACCAGACTATCCTGGACATCTGACTAAAAAAAAGTTTCAGATACACGTCAACTAAAAACATCTGAGCCACTGGGGTATCCGCTGAAAACTGCTTTCGTGCTCAACAGAATAATGAAAGTCATACAGGTTTAGAATAAGATGAGGGTAAATAAATTATGACAGAATTTACATTTCTAAGTGAACGGTCACTTCAGTACTGCACTTCAAAGGCAAAGCACAGTAACTATAATTGCTTAATTGAAGGAAAATGGCTTGGATTTTTGGTTTCATATACATTTTACCACTCATTTTCTCTGAATCTGAGCACAGCTGAGCAAAACCAGTCAGTTACAGTATAGATCATAGCCTAAGAGACTGGACTTCAATCATAATTCCGTTTGGACAAAATAGTAGTTATTGTGTTTTGTCTTTGCACAGCAAATTTATCAGAGAGTCAGCTACACAATATACTGCTGTATAGAACATCTAAACTTGTATATACACTGCATAAAGTTTGGGGTCTGTAAAAGGATATTTATTTTTTTATTTCTTATGTTTACCAAGGCTGCATTTATTTAATCATGTCATATTTGATGAATAGAAAGTTCAAAAGAACAGCATTTATTTATAACATTAGAAATGTCTTTACTGTCACTTTTATTAAGTTTAATGCATCCATGCTGAATAAAAGTATTAAAAATATTTTTTTAACAAAAACAAACGTACTGACCCCAAACATTTGAACAGTAGCGTATAGCATGAAAATGTGCATTTCGCTGACCATTTAATACACAGAGATGGCATAAATATATTTACAGTACACAGGAATTACAAGTCATGGGAAACAATGAAATCAGTTAATTGTTTCTGCAACTAGTTGATTGTGCAACTTTGTTCAGTCACCTATATTCACTTATAAGGTTTCAATTTGGCCAACTTAAATATTTGCTGTAATTTTCCCTGATATGTACATTGCTTATTTAATTGTATTGTTGTTCAGACATGTGCTGGGAAAGAAAAGGTACTTTAACACTCCTGGCACAGACAGGAGGAGTCAATAAGTTGCTTATAATTAGGTGCTTCTAAGGCTCAAGTGTGCCTGCCTCTGGTGCATGATGGAGCTGCAGCTTGATCTGACCCCCTGCTGCCTGCCATAGGATATGTTCTGTTTAAGATTACAGTGAAATATTGTTCATTCATAATCAGAAAGTAGGCAGACTGCATTAAAAGAACATGATTACCTCTATGTGATGTTTCACAAAAAAAAAAAAAAAAAATGAATATATGAATACATGAACATGCATAGAAGAGTCACTCACAGACATTTCCTGTGTTGTCAAAGCTGCTGAGCACCTCATTCACTCTAACTGGACCAAGATTGTCTCTGAAATGCATTAATACAAATGTTAGAGTTGTAAATATATAATGCGATAATTACAAAACATTAGTGTTAGCTAAATGAAATGTGATCAAATTAATGAATTTAATAATTATACTGACATAAGCAAAAGACTTAAAGAAGCAGTTAAACCAAAAAAAAAATGTATTTCATAGTTCACCCATTCTGAAACAAATAAAAATATTTTCATACTGTGATTTCACTAAATTTCATTTAGACTTGGAATACAAGTCATATGGTAACCTTTATGGTTCGTCTATGGTGCTTTTTTATTATATATTTTTTTTTTTTTGGAGTTTGACCACTCTGGTCTCCGTTCACTTTCATTGCATGGGAAAAAAAGACGTGAGCATACTTCGAAAATTTACCTTTTGTGTTTGACAGAAAAAAGAATATCATATGGAACAACACGAGGGAATAAAAGATGGCAGAATTTGCTTTTGTGAGACCTATGCCTTAAAACTATAAGTCCATGAAAGTCCTAAAGCTAAAATAGCTTCATCTGCTCCAGTGTACTCAACACTTTCTCCAGCATACCTGAGTAAGGCACTGTACTGAGGAAAGACTGCACTTCTGTACTCCACCCACTGCCGGTCCCATGGCTCATCCGTCTCTGTGGGAGTGACCCTGCTCCTGGAGAACAGGTTAAAGGAGGAGAATCTTCGCACTGACAC